GACAGCCGGGACCCCGGAGCCCGCGCTCCGGGAACTGCGGAAGAGGCCGAGGCGCCGGCAGGGGAGCAGCGGGCGGAGCGCAGGGGGAGCCGCCCTGTGCGCGCCTCCTTGGCCTCGGGCTGCTGCTGGTGGAGAGCTTTGGGTGGCCACCCCGGGCCGCTGCCTCCCGGAGCAACGTGCGTGGGCGAGGTGGGCGGGAGACGATCGCTGGCTGGGGAGCAGGGCGGGGTCGGAGAGGGAGGGCGTGGGCAAGGGGTCGTGGGCCGGAGTCGAGGGGAGGAAGGGGGAGCCGCCCTGTGCGCGCCTCCTTGGCCTCGGGCTGCTGCTGGTGGAGAGCTTTGGGTGGCCACCCCGGGCCGCTGCCTCCCGGAGCAACGTGCGTGGGCGAGGTGGGCGGGAGACGATCGCTGGCTGGGGAGCAGGGCGGGGTCGGAGAGGGAGGGCGTGGGCAAGGGGTCGTGGGCCGGAGTCGAGGGGAGGAGCCCTGGGGACGGGGCCTTGGGGACGGGGCCCTGGGGACGGGCCGCGGGGCCAGCCGTGAGGATGGGCCGTGGGACGGTGTTACTGGAGTTCTCCCATCTGTCCCGGATCCACCTGGAGTGGGGTGTGGTGTCCGGTCGCTGCCCAAACACCCACAGCCCCTTTCCCTTGCTCAGCCTGCAGGGGTGACCCCGCGCAGGGTGATGGGGGCTCACAGGGGCCTCTGCCTGGGCCCTACGTGTGAGGCCGAGGAGGGACCGAGGCCAGGCGCAGTCCGGAGCCAGCGGGAGGAAGCGGGCACACAGGCCTCAGGGCGTGAAGACGAACCTGCTTGGGGGCTGGAGGCCCGCGGCACCCTGGGGGCCTGGCACAGGCGGCGAGGCAAAGGGCGCTGCCACTGATCAGACCCCGCCCGGATTCGGAGGGGTCCCCGGATGGGCCGCGCCGGGCAAGCGCCTGGGCGGTCAGCTTCGGTCAGAAGCCCCCTCCCACTGCGGGAACCTGAGAAGAGGGTCCCGCCAGGTGGGGAAGACCCTGGGCGCACGGCCGGGAACTGCTGGAGCAGCCGAGGCGCCGGCAGGGGAGCAGCGGGCGGAGCGCGGGGGAAGCCCTTTCCGGGCCTCCTCCGCCTTGGGCTGCTGCCCCGTGGGGAGCTCCCGGTGGCCACCCAGGGCCGCTGCCTCCCGGAGCAACGTGCGAGGGCAAGGAGGGCGGGAGGACGATCGCTGGCTGGGGAGCAGGGCGGGGATGGCCGTGGGACCGGGCGGTGGGACGGGCCGTGGGGACACGCCATGGGGACAGGCTGGCCAAGAGCGCTGTGGCCTCCCGGTGGTGGTGATGGGCCGGGCTGAAACCTGGGCGGGGCAGTGCTGCGCAGGATATGGGAGAGGGTCTTCCAGAAGTCTTTCCACCCTGCTCCACTGATAATGTTTTATTCTCGCCTGGGCTCGGGGCTCCCCAAGTCCTGGAGGAAAACCCGGGGGATCACGAGGCTCTTAGCCAGAGTGGTCCCGAGCTGGGCCTGGAAGCCACACAAGAGGGCACTGGTAAGGACCACGTGCACCTGTCCTGACACCTGGCCGCTCTGGGGGGAACTCCTGAGGGTCCCTGTGGAGTGCCAGTCCCCTGGATGCAGTTACCACGCTGTCCTGTCCCGCAGGCAGGGGAGGCCAAGACCGCCGCTGTCCTGGAAAAAGGCCGGGAAAAGCCGAAGGCCTGTGATCAGGAGGATGGACCCGCAGGCTGAGGTATGCCCACACTAGGGAAGACGGCTCCCCTGAAGGCCACCTCATGGTGACATCCCCAGATGTGATGCTGAGCCCAGGAAGACAGAGGGAAACCCGGAGACCTGTGTATAGGAGGTCAGGGGTAGCGAGGACCTATGGAAAGTGCTGATGGGTTTCCTCCCGGAGTGGGGGATGGAGTGGGAACTGGCCCCAGAATCCCTGGTAGCCCAGGGCAGCCTGGCGTGTGTCTCAGCTGTACAGGGAGATTTGCCAAAGTCCTGTATGTAATTTTCAACTAAAAATCTGGAAACCAAGGATTGGCCAGTGACCTAGCTGTTAGTGCAGCCAGAGTCCACATGTGCGCCCCTGGTTCGGTCCCCACAGACTTGGTGAAAACACACCGGGCATCCGTCCGGGAGCGCCACAGACCCCGGGAGCGCCAGCGACCCCGGGAGCGCCCCAGACCCTGACAGACGGAGAGGTGCAGGAGGAGTCACCTGTGACCATGTCCCTCTCTCTCTCTTTCTGGTGACTCCATACACCTCTGACTAAAAAGAAAAAGAAAAAAAATCGGGAAATAAAAGGTTGTCATCACCTTTGGATGCTGGAACAGAATATGAAGCAATGAATATGTTCACTGTGGGAGCAGGTGGGAGGGGCTTACTTTATTGATCACAGTTTAATATTTTCCATCACACACACACACACACACACACACACAGAGTTGATCTCCGAAGAAGATTCAGCGCTTGGTGTAGGCAAATCTACTCTTCCAGAGCCAGGGCTGGTGGAAATGATTGGGATCCTGGGGCCAGATAGCACAGCAGTTACATTGTTGGATTGCCACATGGCTGACCGCAGTTCAAGTCCCGGGTGGCTTGAAACTCACCCCGGGTCCACGTGCATGCCCAAGATCCTGGGAGGAGAATGGAGAAGAGATCCTAGCATGGCCATCCTCCCTGAGAGGTGTTTTCTCACTTTCCGTCTCACTGTCTCTGACTCTCTCTCTCTCTGGGGAGCACATACACCCTATGGCAAAAACTAATTAAAAAAAAAAGATTGTGGTCTTGACCCATGGCTGTGGGAGGGGCTTAGACTAATAATGGGGAATCCTGAACCAGCTTCTTCCCCTGCAGACCAGGGACCCCAGGGACTGGTGCCCCAGATCCTGGGCTGTGGACCCTCTGCACCTTCCTGAGGACGACGGACAATTGAGGTGAGGGGCGTTCTACACTCAGGACCAGCCTTCCCCGAAAGAAAGGCCTAGGCTCAGGGCTCAGATCTTGCAAAGGAGAGACCACCCAGGACCCTGGTCCTCAGCGCAGCACAGCGGGTGGCTGGGCGATGGGCCCAGGTCAGGGAGGGACCCTCCCTTGGCACATCCCCTCCCCGGGGGGTAGCACCGCTCTACTGCAAACACGTGCACTTTATTGAATCCCACTGCAGTCAGAGCGAGTCGAAGCGGCTGTATAAAGCAAGGGGCAGGCCCGGAGGCCCCGGGGACAGGCCAGCAGTGGGGGTGGACACGGCTGCAGGCCACGGCCATCGACTATGAGTGCTGGAAAGACTCTTTCATCAGCTGAATCATATCTGCAATTACTACTGGAGCCGCGATGCAAAGGATGATGAACATGATGGTCAGAACGATGCCGAGGACCAGGGCGAAGATGTTGAGGCACTTGGCGGTCGAGGCGTAGCTCTGGGCCCCGATCACGTCGCCCACCATCTTCCTGTCCCTAGACTGGGGGAGACAAGTGGTAAGGGGACCTGGGCTGTGAGGTGGGAGCCTGGTGGTATGACTCGGCCTCTGCCCCCAGCCACTCTCCCCGCCTCGATCCAGGGCACCCACACCCTCCTC